GCATGCAGTGCTTCATGGCTTAGCACCCATCCACATTTTTAGAGCGGCAAAACAGCACCGCAGTTCTTTCGAAAGCGAGATAACCTGCACGTTCCATGACCGGGTCCTTCGTCCGTATCAGCTTCATCCACTTCTTCACTGGCAGCAACATCCCATTGCCAAAACTACAAACACTTACAGGGAGTGTCCCATATTTGAAGATCGTGAAGCGAGCATCAGATTTGATGTAATGAGCTCGGTTATAACTATCGGTTTGCATTTAAAAGTAAAATGCTGTCTTGACGATACAGTCCCGCTATTTAGTACATATGCTCCTCAATACTCCATCGTTGGATTACGTCATGGAACGTCTTTATGACGTCAGAGTTGCTGCCAGACCGGGCGTGTCAGAATTGCCACTGTAGCGGACGGGCTAACTCACTTGTAGTACTTCAACCTGCTGAGAGGTGGCGGTATTTGCTATCACGTGTTTGCTGAACCAGCATATCGTGATGTGTTCGTGTTTTGGCCCTTTCTCCTGGTGTTTTTGCACATTAGTCCGTTGATGTTATACTGTTACCTTGTCTCACATGCTCAGTTATGGCACAATTATTAAGTGATTCGATTCCGAATCTTATTCCGTCATTGCTCGGCCCACTGCCCAAATTCCTGTCTTATGTAGTACGAAACTTAACTTGTGTTCAAGCGGGATGCCCTTTCGTTCTCTTTCTTGTATTATCACACCTCCTCGCGACGCTCCGCATGTCCGGAGCAGGCTGCACGCACCAGCCACGAGCGGGTCAAAGTGCCCCCTGGCGAGGATCCCGTCCGAACGCCAGGCACATACCCCGCAGCGGGGTCCCTGTGCGGGCTAAGTCTCGGTGATTGGGTCCCCATAGCCTTGAAATGGTCATTACTGGCCGGAAGGCCTCTAATCGAACTCACCAAATAGCCAAACCAATCGTGTTCGAAACTCGCACTCAACGTATTGCATTGGATGACGGCTGGCTGATGTTCGCTGAAGCTAGAAATCCAGCTAACCTTTGCCGGTCACGAATAATCCGTTTACGATACGTTCTCGACCTCGGTCACTACACGGCCACTGAGATGTCCGTATTCGCGTGCCATTTCTATGGCGTCATGCATGTCTGGGTGACCGTGAAATAATCTGCACAAGTTCGCGGGCATCAAGCTATGAAACTAGAGGGTTTAAGCCCTGACAAAGGCAAGGATGAAAACTGCACTGAACTATCTTCAAAATGACTATCCTAATTCAAAACCCCATACGACTGTGGGACACTCCCCTTAAAATGAGCTTAAATGGTATGTTCCACATTTGTGTGCAATTTAATTGAAATAGCCATCTTGAAGATCATCCGGTGCACTTTATAGCCATGCCATTTTTGAGACCTAAAACCCGCTAATTTCTGAGCTACACGCCCGTAAAGATGTGCATACTTGAGCGATGAGCTACTTGAGAGATGAGATCCTAATACTTTATATAACTGAACCATAGCGAACCGACTTGCGAACAAAGTCGGACCCCGATGCTCAGAGGCATGCACCACTTCGAAATAGCGTGCAACTTACAGGCCACTAGCCACCCGCACCATGAGCGGAAGTGACACAGGCTTCTCCTTGTCTCCTCTAACCGCACAAACCAAGTCGGCACACCACGGATTTCCGGCTTACTCGGTACACCGCCATGGCGCGGGGCAAAACGCGCGCGCCAAAGCTGGTGACCAGATAGTCGGCCGGCAGCCGTGACCTCGTGCGGCAGATCGGTTTTTCTGCTCCTCCCGCTGCCAAGCCTGCGCCAGCCGGCGGCAGATAGATGCGTGTCGCCCACCGCATCGACACCGCTCCAAGGTCGAGACAAGCCGCACAGCGCGCCGAGCGACTCGGCGTCCGATACGCCGCAGTCGCGGGCCCCGCCGACCAGACGCCTTCTCGCAGACGATGGCGGCAGCCCCAGGGGGAGCTCCAGCAGCCCATCTGGGCTTCCAAAGGCGTCGACGAGTTAGGACGCGCGTTGGGAATTATGAGATCAACTAGGATACGTTATTTCCCACAACAACCCAACAACACCACTGGCAGAGAACACCAGGGGTGAACTTTTAGCTCGAAGACAAGAATACAAGCTTGGTATTAAGCTAACTGTGATGCCAAATATATAAATCCATTTCATTCCATTTCTTGTTCAGTTGAGCTGGCTTCATCCTACAACCAGACTTCGTCCCTCTCCTTGGAGAAGAAATGGCCCAAGACCAGCAAGAAAGCAAGTTGTTGGTGCACTTTAAGGGGGAGAGGTGAAAAGCATCATTGCTCACTGCCCAGCCTGCTTCCCCCCCCCCCCCCTTCACTCATTTTGTAGAAAATGTGCCCCTGTTCATGCAATCCGTACCTTCAGCTGATGCCTTTTCACAGACAAGTGTCAGCTCCTGCAACATTTGGACTTCTACCATTACCAACTCTTTGCTTGACTACTGGATGACGAATTCCAGGTCTTCTTGCAGTACTCTAGTTTCACCAATTTTTGCACAGCTCAGTACAATTTTGAGTCATCAACAAACATTGTCAAGCTGCACTATTGTAGGTAGTTTATTTACACTGGCAATACAGAGCATTGGATCTACCACAAATATTCCAAGGATCCACTCAAGACTCTTACTAAACAGGAGCCACTGCCGCTGACCGAGACTTGTTGATAGCTCTCATAAAGCATGCCACCCAGTTGGGCAGTCTGCTCCTGAGCCCACAGCTGCTCAGCTTCCTTAGCAATGGTGAAACAATATGCTTAAATCTTCAGTAAGTTAGTATGAATCAAGTTCCTGTTTTGTACATCTTAGAGCATTGTATGGTGAGCAACACTGGTTCTTCAGTGATAAGGGATTCCATTTGGGACATTCCAGAACATTCAAATCACTGTAAATCATGAGTCCCACATCCCTTGCATTCATCAGTCCTATGCTGCTATGACAGAGCACCAGGTGGTAGCCCTGGGTAGTAAAATCATTCAAGTCCATGATCCCATAATGTCAGTCCCATCTGGTTTCCTTGATCTGTTCTGTTTGAGCCAGAGTTTGATTCTCCTGCTCTGAATACTGTATTCAAGCAAAGACTAGTAAAACCAGTAATCCTACACTGGCATGTGTGTAATAACTTCAACATGACAGATCTTGTGGCTGCTCTTGCCTTTGAAGTCAAGCTCTCATGTGAAAATATCTTCTTATTACCTTCTACCAAGTGTTAGGTATCATTAAGTAGATATTGGGGAACATAAATTCTTTTTGGTGCATTCCATTCTTGATCAGTTCAATTTCATTATGCTTCCTTTGTCTGATCAGCATCAGACTTGTTTGGGCTCAGATGGTCACAGGTCTGTCTGTTATTTTTATACTATGCCTGAATATTTTGTCAACCTCTAAGCACCAGCATTGATCAATGCCCAGACAGCATTTGGAAACTGGCAGTCATAGTTCTACCAATCTTCTGTGTTTGAGATTCACTCTCAGGTATGTTATGTAATGGCACATTCTCACCCTGCTTTCTTTGTCTTCCTTTGTCTGCACAATATTCTTTAGCTTAAGGCCACTCTCCTTAATATTTTTGGTACTTTGGCATTAGTGGCACAGCCTCCCTTCGGCTCTTCAAGGATTTTTCAATGCTTATTGATGAAGAATGTTGGGACAAGAGATGAGCTGTAATTTTTGAGTTTTTGCTTTATGAAGTTTCTTTAAATTCAGATATTATGATAGTAATAACACTACCAGCTCTTTATAATTCCTGCTTATTAGATTACTTATCTTATTTTGAGCATGTTTTTACAAGTACTGGCCCAATCTGCTGCCTACAATGTTAACTATATTTAGGGCCCATGGGAGTTATTTGCAGTGTTCCATAATCTTATTATTACATGACATGCTGTAAATGTGATCTCAAATTCAACTGCTAAATGGTAGGATATATATATATTCATTTCTGTATGCTGCTGAAGGTCTTTGTTAGCCTCTGATGCCAAGTTGCTCCTCACCTTCACTGCAAGATGCACAAAGGGTCAAAGGTCTATCTAAGTGGCATCCCAAAAACCTGAGATGTCCTTTCCCACTGTTGGTAGGAAAACTCTGACAACATGAATCTCAGCATACATCTTGGCAACTAGCTGACAGAAGCTGAATCACATGCATATATCGCTACTCTCTGTGGTCAAGGTGTTTTATGACAACAATAAGTTAGCTATGATGATGTTTCCCTGGAAAAAGCTATTTTAGTACTTAAATCACCTTTCACCTACCGCATTTACACCAGCAGGGCATTAATCATCATATTCAGACAATTAATGACCATGGTTGGTCATCTGACCCCACCAGATGCATTGCTTTGACAGTGGTGGCATATGCAAGTCATGTTTTTGCTTTATTATTAGTATTCATCAAATTTCAAATGACATCTATTTATTTAGTTTAGTACACAGTTACTTGGCAACAGTTTGTGTTCATGTTATATATATCCTGTGTCACAAACATCATATCTTTGATAGTGCAACATAGGGTGCATGGGAACAAATTGATTTGTTCCCATTGGTTTGGTTTTTTGTTGTTTTTTTGTTGATTTTGTTGTTGTTTTATTTTGTTTTGTTGAAAAAATTGGGTTGACAGTAACATGCAGGCAATGGGCTGGGTCAGATGCATATGAATATGGTTATACCACTGCTATGCCATATGCATCCATGCCACAATCATGCAAATGACAATGAATGGTGCACTCAATGTGATAGGGAAAAGTTGAGGGATATGATAAGATCATAAACATGAAATCCTAGGGAATGCCTGTTATATGACCCTCACATAAGGGAGAAGCTGACATTTCAAAGAATTTGCATGAGCAATATTGCATAACTGCAAGATCAGTTAAAACACTTACCACAGCTGGAGCATGATGATAAAAGCACAACGTTAAGTATGCAATCCAGCTGCGAAAATCCAGCACTTAATCTAGCAAGTGACTGCCACACCACTTACTTTTTGTTTAGTTCAAGCTGTTCCTCTTGTGACAGTTTCACATCCATGGATTCAATGATCATGACGTCGTCATCCGCATCCAAATCCATCTTGGTGCTGGCAGGATCTTCAATAATTTCAACATCACTGTCGCAAGCCATTTCTGCAAAACTAGTTATAAGAAACACAGATGCAAACAACAGACCCGGAGAAAACAAAACAGGCTCTCTTTACAACCAGCACAGAAATCCACACCCGCGCAGTCAAACACGCAGGCGCTGCAGGATCTGATAACCGCCAAGGTCACATGTGAACGGGGTCGCCATGGTTTTGCCTTAATTTACTGCTATAACATCTTCAAAAGTCTAAATTAGATTTGCTATAACGTCTTCAGATTTGTTATGTTATTATAATTGTTTGTTAAATGATTGAAAAAATGCACGAATTGATGATGGTGCGCCAGCTTTTACACACAAATTTAAAAGAAAACGAATTTGTTTTGGAAATGAAATTCTGACTTAAAATTAGTAACATTCTTACAACCGACTGCTCGCACTATATTCGTCATAAAATAAAGATATTATGATCGTATTAAAACCAAAACCTAAAACAGGCAGCAGAAGGAGTGGTCAGCGTTAGGCATTATCTCCTTGTTACGCAGTTGTATTTTGCAGTGTTTTGGCGTGCATCACAGAAAGCTCTAGTCAGCTGGAGTCAGCTGACATCATCACGGTCCAGCGCCGTAACCGTCATTTAGTTTTGCCGAAGTGGGGGTGGATTGTGTGTGTCGTGGGAGGGTACTTGGGCATCGATATTGCTTCAGATAGGGTAAGTGCGGTATGTACGCTTTTCGTTATCAACGTCATGGGCACGTTGTGGCATGCTTATATTCCGGCATTATACAGACGTGACCAGGGGAAGTGGCATCTGGTCATAAATCTTAGTCTGCATCATACCTTACCTTACCTTATGGTGGTCAGGTAATCAGGTGATCGAGATCAGATCAGGATCAGGTGATCTTACCTTATGGATTGTGGTTATGGAATTGTAAAAGGCCACTAGGTCTGTAGGTCCCGGTCTCGTCAGGCTCCCGGTCCGGTAACCAGTCTCAAATTATGGGAAGATTCAGTGTGCGACGTCGTACATGATGCCAGCCCAATGCATATCAAGCCTGGACTTGAACTGTTCAACTGAGGTCGACGACACGACCGGTTGTGGAGGAGCGTTCCAGTTGTTGACAACCCGCGTGCTAAATGAGTTACGACAGATGAGAGTCCTAACTCGAGGTTTTCTGAGATTCCATTGGTGTCCTCTTGTCACCTCCGAGTCGTGCCTTGTCGGGAATTCCTCTTCCGACAGCGACATACCTCCGTGAAACAGCTGGTACACTGTTACCATGTATCACCTACAACGACGATAGTACAGTGAGGGCAACTGAAGGAGTCTGAGCCTCTCATGGTATGGCTGGCACCTCACTTCATAGACAAGCTGGGTAGCTCGTCACTGAACCTTACCTTAGAATCATGCCTACCATCCAGACTGTAAAAATTCATGTTACACAAACATACGTGGCTCAGCAGCAACAACTCGGCAGCAAGTTTAGCGCCTGCCCACCATAAATCCGAGAACCTGTGTTTGGATGACATTCATATGCTGACAAATTTTTCACATAAGGTCACATCTCATAAGTTTCAGTGCATTTAGGCAGTGTTTCAAGGAATTGGGGTATTACCACAGTGATTGTGAGCAAAAATGCACTCACAATTATTCAAACAATTTTTCAAAGCCTGTCACAAGCTGAAATAGTCTAAGGTAGTGTATATATGCTCCAGGTTCAGTGGACCAACATCATGTAAGTGACTGGTGCAGTGGGTGGATATATTTCATATTGGGTTTTCCTGTATGCAAACCATGGCTAAGGTGCCAACAAGATACTAGGGGCAAGATTGTCTACCAAAATGGGATAGTGAACTGCCTGATTAGGAGCAGATTTTGTAATCCTCACATGCCTCTTCTCCATCTTCTCCAAAAGTAACATAACTTTTATATGACATGCTAGTATTGCTGCTTGCCTTTTCAGCTGCAGCAAAGGCATCTATTTAGGCTTGTTTATTGATCTTTGATGATAAAGTTTGAGATGTTGGCTTCACATTTTAAATTGGATTGTGTGACTTTTTGTTACATACTAATATTTATGTCATATTATAATTGCTATGCAGCTTAGAGTACCCCTGTTGAAAAATAGTGCATATATACAGTACAGTCATCTGCCAGTCAGCAAACCATGACAACTATAAAAAACATCGGGTTAAATCAGCCATCAGGGACTGTTTCAAGAAATTTAGGGCAATTAATCAAGAATATGGAACAAAATAAGCCCATTGTATGCCTTGTGGCATCATAAGTTGTCTTTTGACAAAGCTCGATGGATTAAAACAGAAAATGTCTAACTCTGGTCACCAATCATGTGTTGAAAGCACGTGAGGTAAGCGATTACCTGGTTCACAGGAGACTTACTGGCTTCTTCCTGCTCCCTCAAAACAAAAAGTCAGTGCCTTTTGCATGGTCTGCTGGCAGACAGTCATCGCCCGCCCCCCCGCCCAAATATAAATATCAGTCATGCCCACCAACATGCAAGATTAAAATGTGAAACAAGTAAGAGGTGTGCATGATAAACATCTCCAGAGGGCAGAATTTCACCATCAAACACTTCTGTATTAGTTGCATTAGGTCTGTCCCAAAGCTCTGTATGGCAACATTAGGATAGCCTTGCCAGGTAGCCTGGTGAGTTAGACACTTGAAAGGCTTAGATTTATCATCATTGAGCACCGCCATGGACCAGGAAAACAGTTAACCAAGGGTTTAATAGGGGGAAAATGGCGGTAAATAAGTTCTGTGCTTTAAATTATCTTCTTCATTCCCTGTGAACTGTTCACTCTTGGGTGCATATCAAAGGTATTTGGGCGGCTGGCGAATTAATCCAATTTATATATGAAATAGGTACAAGCTTGCAGTTGGAGCATCCTGCAGAGAGATCACTCAACATTTTAAGCAGCAGGTGGTCCCTCTAAAAGTGATCAAAAAGAGAGGAAGAATGAAGTGGTATCACACTTGTATGATACCAAGAAAAACAAAAGTAGTGAAAGAAATACAAAGGCTGATACTTTTCTGGCAAAATTTTGTTATCAGCTGATTTTACTTAAAGTCTGTTAACATGAGTGCTCAAATGGTGATATTCATCTTGTAAAGTTAATTTAGAAGACCTTTCTTGAATTTTTCACCCATGCATTTCGAGAGTGATGCAATTTGGTGGTGAAATTTCCCCGAGAAAAAAGAAGTATGTGGAATAAAATTATCTACCAGGCCTTGCTGGTCTTTGCACCAAGCCCTGCTTTCGTGGTATGGTGGTGAGAACAAAATAATAGGGGATGTGCGAAAACATTGCATTTGGCACACAGCTGCTGATTGTGATGCATTTTATAAACAAACCAAACTCAATGCGTGCAAGCGGCTGGAGTCGCTGGGGTTCTTGGGCTTTGAGGTACCTGGCGCCCTTGCTCTGTACATACATAGACATGATTCAGATTAGGTGAGGCAGGACATAGCCATAGGTATCCAGGTTCCGTGGAGCTTCGTTTATGCTTGGTGGTTTCAAGTGAGCTCGGTTTTGGATGGTGTCTGAAAACCTCAGAAAGGGAAATAGGGGTTTGGCATGTGCGATTAGATGATGTCAGGCAGGAGTGAAAAATTCACATAAAATAGGGAGAAAAGGAGTGAAAAATTCCTCCTCATAGGTTGTTGCTTTACACCCAAAGTCGGCAATTCTAGGACAATGGCAGAATTTGATCACAAAAGTTGAATGTACTGCAATAGTTGGCACAAGACGTCGTGCCCTCTGACAAGAACCAACCTTCCTTTGTGACTACTGCCATTGGCTGCAGGCCACAACTGTCAAGGGCAAAAGTTAGTGCCTGAAGCAACTCAAACCCACCCCACCACTGATGGATGGATTGGTAGGCAGGTGTGCTAACTGATAGACAGAGAGGCTACAAAAATGCTGTGATGGCACTTGAGTGCCCATCTGCCAAACATAACAGCCTATCCTGATAGTCCAGGGGGTCAGTGGGCTAGAGTACCTGCCTACACCCATGGAGGGAAGGGTTGAAGGGATTTTAGGTGCATGCTGTGCACTTCTGATCGGGATGGCCTGTGGCAGGTGGTGGGGACTGAGCTATTAGGTTAGGTGATGAGAATATATGAGCTGAGATGAAATATGTCAAGATGTTGACAGTGATATCTGACATGCAAAGGCTCAAGTTTTTCAGACAGCATGAATGAGATAAACACAGCTCAGAGCACCACTCTAAGAAACTCTGATTAAGGTGTTTCTCAGTCTGAACATCAGGGGCATCACCAGGGTTTCAAACTGTCAGCTGCACACATCAGGAATTGTTGCCTGTGGCTGTCTGAATTGTCCCGGAACCAAACCATATCAATCTCATACAAGGAAGGTTTCAAGCAGTTTTTTCCATGCAGTGTGACATTTAAGCATCTTGATCTGGCTAATTAGGCAATTCATGGAATGCTCATTTGTGGTAGCTATGTTGGGAATCAGACCATTTTGCTCTTTTCTGATATGAAGATGCATGAAGGATGCCTGTCAGTTGGATTTTTGGGTGCCTTTCCTTTGAGCTTGGCATGACAAGTGTGTGTTGCATGCTTGGCAAATGGTGGCAGTGGCAGGGCAGAGTTGACAATTTCAGGAGCATAAAGAATAGTCCAGATGTATGAATTTTGGGACATGTACATGGTAATGATTTTTGAGGCAGGGCTGGTGCAAAAATGAAGTTATTTTTTTAGTTGAGGTACTTCCTGAAGTGGGACAGATCATGCTATTTAGGGCCAGTGGTGAGCTGCATTGTGACAGTTAAGGCATATTTTGGAGCAAACAGAAGTCATCCTAGGCATTCCATCGCCATGGTTTGCATACTGGCCTGCCTGCAGCAGCCTGACTGCCAAGGCTGTGTGTACATACCTTGGAACAGCTGGGATGATAATGTATTCAGAGATAAGCAGTTCTGGTGACACTTTGAAAGTTCCCTTCATTTGCAATGCAAAGTTGTCACATGATGAAATTGCATAAAAGAACCTAGATCATGTATAAGGTATTTTGTGGCTAGATCTGACGAGTTATGAGAGAAGAATATTTTTATGTTATTTCTGGGAACCCCACTTCATACTGCAACCTTCAAGATTTCACAATCAAGATCAGGTTATGATACAAGTGTGCACTTTG